CTCCTCGTCTTCAAACACCTATCCCTCCAAGCAGCAAAACAATTACCAGCAGAAACCTTCACAACTTGAACCCGGCTCCTTTCCACTCTGCAACTGACCTCCTCTATGACAGAATCTCTCCCCTGTCCTGCCCTGACCTGGCCACTGCTGTCTACAACAGTTCACTGTCATCCACACTGGACTCACTTGTTCCTCTAACAACACGAAGCATCAGGCCCCGACCATTACATCCGTGGCAGACTGACCACACCAGAAATCTTAAACGACATAGTTGTGCGTTGGAGCAATTGTGGTGTAAATCCAAATCCCAGCAAGCATTCACCCGATATAAATCTGCTTTCTTCACATACAATTCCTCCCTCCATGCTGCCAAACAAGCCGAACTTTTTCACTCTTATTAATACCTTGTCATCCAGTCCTCATCGTCTCTCCTCCACTTTTAACTCTCTACTTTCTCCACCTCCACCCAGCACCTCACTCACTGCTCATGAGATTGCAAATCATTTCAAAAACAAGATTGCGCAATTCGTAGGGGCATCACCACTGCACAGACATCCATCCCACTTAGCATACCTTATACTAAACCTCCCTCAACACTTTCCTCTTCTGACCTCGCTACTACTGAAGAGGTCACTAAGGTTTTCTCAGAAGTCCGTCTCACCACCTGCCCCCTGGATCCTGTCCCCTCACAACTAGTACGGTCACCCTCTTCTTCCATCCTATGCTCCCTCACTCACATCCTCAATCTTTCCCTCTCTACTGGTGCCTTCCCCTCCCCTCTAAAGCATGCGCACATCACTCCCATACTTAACAAGCCCTCCCTGGACCCCACCAACCTGAACAACTTAAGACCCATCTCCCTGCTGCCATTTACCTCTAAACTCCTAGAACGCTTAGTCTACAATCGCCTGAGCTCCCACCTCACCGACAACAACCTTCTTCACCCTTTACAGTCTGGCTTTCACTCTCTACTCCACTGACTGCCCTACTAAACCTCACTAATGATCTACTAACTGCTAAAACCCAATGACACTCCGTACTCAATCCCAACCAATGCCACTACTCCGTACTCATCCCAACCAATGGCTCACTACTAATGCCACTATCCGTACTACTGGCCACAACCTGGCCACTACTCCGTACTCATCCCAACCAATGGCCACTACTCCGTACTCATCCCAACTCCACTACTCCGTACTCATCCCAACCAATGGCCACTACTCCGCACCAATCCCAACCAATGACCACTACTCCGTACTCATCCCAACCAATGGCCACTACTCTGTACTCATCCCAACCAATGGCCACTACTTCATACTCATCCCAACCAATGGCCACTACTCCGTACTCATCCCAACCAATGACCACTACTCCGTACTCATCCCAACCAATGGCCACTACTCCATACTCATCCCCAACCAATGGCCACTACTCCATACTCATCCCAACCAATGGCCACTACTCCTTACTCCTCCCAACCAATGGCCATTAGTCCATACTCCTACTACTTGACCTCTCTGCAGCTTTTGATATGGTTGACTATCCCCTCCTCCTCAAAAAACTCCACACTCTTGGCCTCAGAGACTCTGCTCTCTCCTGGTTTTCCTCCTACCTATCGCAGCGCTCCTTCAGCGTTACCTATAATGCTGCCTCTTCCTCTTCACTCTCTCTTTCTGTAGGGGTCCCTCAATGTTCTGTCCTTGGACCCCTTCTCTTCTCCATCTACACCTCCTCCCTTAGTCATTTGATAAACTCCCATGGCTTTAAGTACCATCTCTATGCTGATGACACACAAAATCTATCTTTCTACCCCTCACCTCAACCCTTCAGTCTCCTCCTCACCTCACCCCTTCAATCTCCTCCTCACCCTCACCCCTTCAGTCTCCTCCTCATCTCACCCCCTCAGTCTCCTCCTCACCTCACCCCTTCAGTCTCCTCCCCACCTCGCCCCTTCAGTCTCCTCTCGCATTACTAACCTACTAAGTTACATATTGGCATGGATGTCACTCCACTTCCTCAAACTCAATCTTTCCAAAACTGAGCTCTTAGTATTCCCCCCAGCCCGTGCCCCCTCCCCTGACTTCTCCATCAAGATCAATAACACAATCATCAGTCCCTCCCCTCATGCCAGGGTACTAGGTGTAATCCTAGACTCCCATCTGTCCTTTCACCGCCCAAATCCAATCGCTGTCCAAATCATGTAGACTTTAACTCCGCAACATCTCCAAGATACGCCCGTTCCTAACCTCGGAAACCACTAAGCAACTTATTCCCTCCCTTGTTATATCTCGCCTTGACTATTGTAACTCCCTCCTCATTGGCCGACCTCATCGCAGGCTATCCCCTCTTCAGTCTATCATGAATGCTGCTACCAGACTCATCCATCTTACTAACCGTTCTGTCTCTGCCACCCCTCTCTGCCAATCCCTCCACTGACCTCCATTCAGTGTCCTCCATCCCTCTCTGCCATCCCTCCACTGGCCTCCATTCAGTGTCCTCCACCCCTCTCTGCCAATCCCTCCACTGGCCTCCACTCAGTGTCCTCCACCCCTCTCTGCCAATCCCTCCACTGGCCCCCACCCCTCTCTGCCAATCCCTCTGGCCTCCACTGCCTCCACCCCTTCAGTGTCCCCACTCCTCTCTGCCAATGCCAATCCCTCCACTGGCCTCCATTCAGTGTCCTCCACCCCTCTCTGTCAATCCCTCCACTGGCTTCCCATTGCCCAACGGATAAAATTCAAAACACTAACAATAACATATAAAGCCATTTATAAGTCTGCCCCAAATTACATCACCGATCTTATCTCTAACTATCACCCAAACCATACTCTCCGCTCCTCGCAAGACCTCCTACTCTCTAGCTCCCTTGTCTCCTCCTCCCATGCTCATCTCCAGGACTTTTCCAGAGCTTTCCCCATCCTCTGGAACTCTCTACCCCAATTTATCAGACTATCACCTACTCTGCTCACTTTTAGGCAATCTCTGAAAACCAACTCTTAAGGGAAGCCTATCCTGCCCTCAGCTAATAATGTAATCTTCTACTCCTACCAGTCCATCCCCCACAGTTACTATCTTTTGTACTACTAGCCTCTTCCTCCTAGATTGTAAGCTCCAAGGATCAGGGTCCTCCTATCCCTCTTGTATTGAACTGTATTGTTGCTGTATTGTCTCCTGTTATATTGTAAAGCGCTAAGCAAACTGTTGGCACCATAAATCCTGTATAATATTAATAGTGCAGGGGTCCAGGAGTATGTAATGTACAATATATAGAGTACAACATAGAGTATAGTGCAGGGGTCAGGAGTATGTAATGCACAACATAGAGTATATAGTGCAGGGGTCAGGAGTATGTAATGTACAACATAGAGTATATAGTGCAGGGGTCAGGAGTATGTAATGTACAACATAGAGTACATAGTGCAGGGGTCAGGAGTATGTAATGTACAACATAGAGTATATAGTGCAGGGGTCAGGAGTATGTAATGTACAACATAGAGTATATAGTGCAGGGGTCAGGAGTATGTAATGTACAACATAGAGTATATAGTGCAGGGGTCAGGAGTATGTAATGTACAACATAGAGTATATAGTGCAGGGGTCAGGGTAATGTACAGAGTATATAGTGCAGGGGTCAGGAGTATGTAATGTACAACATAGAGTACATATAGTGCAGGGGTCAGGAGTATGTAATGTACAACATAGAATATATAGTGCAGGGGTCAGGAGTATGTAATATACAACATAGAGTATATAGTGCAGGGGTCAGGAGTATGTAATGTACAACATAGAGTATATAGTGCAGGGGTCAGGAGTATGTAATGTACAACATAGAGTATATAGTGCAGGGGTCAGGAGTATGTAATGTACAACATAGAGTAATAGTGCAGGGGTCAGGAGTATGTAATGTACAATATAAATTATATAGTGTAAGGGTCAGGACTCAAATCTTGGTATTCAGCAATCAGTGGTGGCCTAGATGTCCACATGAGACAAGTTGCAGAGGTCCCACACTGCTTCATCCCATCTCCTGAGACTGAATCCATTGTTTCTATGTGTTTATCAGATGATGGGGGATCTAGGTGGATCCTCCGTACTGCTCTCTCCTTTACAATAAAGTCTCCTCTTACCCGGTGATGTGAGGGGCGGCTGATTGTCCATCATGACGTCCTTGTAGAGATCCTTGTGTCCTTCTAAATACTCCCACTCCTCCATGGAGAAATAGACAGTGACACCCTGACACCTTATAGGAACCTGACACACACAATGATACAGTCACCATCCAGACACATCCCTTGTCTGTTACTGGAGAATGTCCCAGAATTCCCAGCACCACTCACCTCTCCTGTCAGCAGCTCTATCATCTTCTCTGTGACTTCTAGAATCTTCTGTGTCTTCTGTCTTGTAGGGATCAGGGATGGAGGTGGGGGGATGGTGATGGGATTCTGGATTCTCGAGGATCTTGTGGTCATACGATGAGATCTCCTTCTTGTGTCATTGTCGGTAGATTTCTTCATGACTCCTGTACAGTTCTGTGTGATACAAAGAGGTCTTACCTGTCCATAATGGACAACAAGAGGAAGTACTTGGTATAGCAGAGTCCAATGTTTGGTGAAAGGATTGGTGCAAAGCTGAAGGTTTTGGTTCTGTTAGTCATGATGCCATCAGGTGGTCTGACATTGAGCTGTACAATAGAGATGGTCTGCATCCCTCACACAAGGGCGCTCAGCTCCTTACTATGGAATTTAGGAGGTTTTTGGACATGCATTAAACTGAGAAATGGGGGCAGAGATGTCATTGTTGAGGATCATTTCTGTCCCCAGCAGGCTGAAACAAATGTGAGGTTGGTGTTGCTGAGGACGGGGCTGATGGGGTCACTTCAGTTACAGTTTCGGGTGGTAAACATAAAGCAGTAGATGGCAGTGCTTGTCATGTCATTGCACTAATGCTCCGAGTTTAGGCAACAAGATTTGTGAGCTGACAGCTCTTATGTCTAGGGACCACTTGGACCTTGTTGTAATTACAGAGACGTGGTTCAAGGATTCAGATGACTGGGAAGTAACTATACCAGGGTATACACTATACAGGAAAGACAGAGTAGGGGGGGAGGGGAGGTGGAGTTGTCATATATGTCAGAAATAGCATAAGGAGAACATTAATTCAAACAACAAATGAAATACTGGAGACCCTCTGGGTCTGCCTTCCAACCAGAGAGGGATCTTCCCTTAGAATTGGTGTCATATACAGACCCCCAGGACAGACTGAAGATTAGGAGGACTTCTTGATTGATGAGATAACTCAAATGGCAATGGAGGGGAAGGTTTTCATTATGGGTGACGTCACCACGCCTGACATTAACTGGAATTCTCAAACTGCTATTACAAGCAGGAGCAGAGATGTAATGGAAGCACTGAATGGGGCTTCTCTAAAACAGTAAAAAGTCCAACCCAAGGTGATCATATTCTAGACCTAGTACTGACAAATGGGGATCAACTGTCTAATGTTGAGGTGGGAGAAAATGTGGGTTCTAGTGATCACCAATGTCTTTGGTTTGATATTAAAATAAGAACTGAAAAATCACAAAAACAAAAGATTTAGATTCCAAAAAGACAAATTTTGGTGAAATGGGCGAATTTCTAAAAAAATGAGTTGAAAGGTTGGAGTAAAAGGACCGAGTAAGTAATCAGTGGGCACTGATAGAGTCTACCATCCTGG